ACTATCCTAGTTGTCGTAGACCGGTTTACTAAGGGCGCTCGTTACATTCCTACCCGAAAGGATTAGACGGCTATTAACCTAGCTAAGGCGCTATAGACTGACATCTTCTATACCTATTAGGGAACCCCTAAGGGGATAGTCTCCGATAGGGGCTCGACATTCATATCGCACTATTAGAGCGAAATATGCCTATAGCTAAGACTAAAGCATCGGCTATTAATAGCCTTCTATCTATAGACTAACGGTTAAACAGAGAGACAGAATGCTACCCTATAGTAGTACCTACGTAGCTATATTAACGAGAACCCTAAGGATTAGGTTAATCTCCTATAACTAGCCGAATTTATATATAACAATAGTGTCTACTTATCTACTAAGGTGTTACCTTATTTCGCTATAATAGGAAGCAACCCTACGCTGCTATAAGACCCTCTATCGCTCGAGGCCGAGCGTAAGGAAAGGGAAGCGGGTCAACCTAAGACACTAGCGGCTATTAAGAGGGTTTAGAAGATGCGAGAAATCTATACTAAGATAGCCGAGAAGTTAACAAAGGCTTAAGAGTACTAAAAGACCTACTATAATAAACACTACCTTCTAATAACCTTTAAGCAAGGCGATATAGTTATGCTTAGTATAAAGAACCTCCGCATCCGCAAACACCTATTACTCGATAGCAAAACAAGGCCCAAACTCGCACTAAGATACATTAGCCTATTCCGCATTCGAGAACCGAAGGGTATATAGGCCTACTAGTTATAGCTTCTACCCTATTACACTATCTATAACACCTTCTATATATCCCTCCTTAAGCTATACTATTAACGCGAAGGCGATAAAGCGCCTGCTAAGTTAGAAGAAGTCTTAGCTGATAGTAAAGAACTGTAGTCTATAGAACGTATCCTATAGTACCGGACTAGGAAAGGTAAGAAGGAATACCTCCTAAGGTAGTAAGGCTATTTACCTAAATAGGACTCGTAGGAAGCTAAAGGATCCTTTAAGGACATAACCGAGTTGTTAGATGAGTATTAGACTAGCGTAAAGAATAAGAAGAAGACTAAAAGCTTATAATGTTACTACTAAGGCCTAGGATTAATGCTACCCCCGGGGTACTATTAGCTAACTAATTAGAAGCAAGCAATTGTTAGCAATAAAGGATAATAAGACTATACTACTATAGTAAACGCGCACCGAGTGTTAACAAGCGCGCTACGACGCGTTAACCAATTGCCTGCTCTTTTAAGGATTCTACCTCTTTACTAACGCGCCCTATAGGTCCCCCTCTTGTTCCCTTATTCCGTCGAGGCCTCGAGGCCTAGGCAATCGGCGTAGCCGGCGCGGCTATATTAGTGACAGTGTTGCGGGGTATGTTACTGTTTAAGAAAGGAAGGATACCGCTATATTAGTAACGGTGTTGCCGAGTTGTTATTAGTTAAAGAAGGTAAAGTTAGCGCTAAGACGACTAGCGCTACTATTATTAATATTACTTGCTATTATCGCTACGCCTATAGATACAACCTTACCTACACTACGAGCCTAAGGCACCTTAATCAAACTTTAATCAAAACTTTGATTAAAACTTTAAGCCGCTTAAAGGATTGAGCGACTAATAGACTAGCTAACTAAGGGCAAAACTATAGAGCTAAGCTAGCCGGGGTCGATCTTGCGGATAATAGGTTACTCCTCGATCTATCTAACCCTTTAAGCGAGGCGAACCTCTACTACTATACTTATAATAGCCTTTACCTATAGAAACTAGACGAGCTGTGTTTTTTGAAAAGATAAGATAAGATTGACACTTAAAGGCTACTAAACCTAGCTAATTAGGGCTAGCGAAACTACGAACAATAAGAACAATAACCCTCGGAAGCGAACAAACCCTTAGAAGCGGACATTACTAGGTCTTTTAAGAGTAGACGCAAAGAACTCGGTACGATATTACTTAGAGCGGAGGTAGGGCTGCAATACCTCGTACGTCTACCTATTATAGTAGGGAAGACGCGCTCGTATTATAATTAGTCGATAGCCCTTAATTCTTGTAGCTTTATATCCCTTCACTTTATTATATATAAGGATAGCGTAGTTAGAGTTGTATATTGTATTGTTTAGAGGTGAGGTTTGATATAGTTACATAATTAGGTAGTTAAGTGTTTAATTTAGCGCGGCTAAGCAGCTTATTAGACTTACTAAGTTAGCGGCAATAGAGGTCGGGATTAGAATATAGGTAGGCTACGAGGGCGCGGCCTTTAGAAGGGAAGCGTATATTAGGGCTAAAGAGGCTATACGTAATTGGTATATAACTAGGCCGAGTGAAGCTAGGGTCTCGATGCCTTAGGTAGGGCTTAGCGCTTAGCGTTAGGCTAACTCTCCTACCTTCCTCCCTCTCCTTCTAGATCCTTATCGAATACTACTCGTACCTACTACCACCCTATCTACCTGCTAATATACCCTTCTCACATAGTATATCCTTATCCTGTTTAGGTCTCCTTGCCTATTTAGCTATCCTCTATATCTCCTCTAGTTTCTTTGTAATTATTCCTATTATAGATCTCTATTCTTATATCTTGTCTTTCTTAATCTAGATCTTCTTTTCCTAGTAGGCTTTATTATAGTTGTCCTATACTTCCTAGGTGTAGGTTTGTATCTACTACCTCCTAGCTTTCCTTACTACTTTAACCTTCCTTATATACTTACTAGTCTAGTATAGTTGCTAGTATAGTAAATGTTTCTTTGCTAGGGTATACTTTCTAGCTACCTGTTTTAGGATTCCTATTAGTTCTTCTACTACCTTATTAATATCCTCTAGCCTTAGTAGGTGCTTTGTTAAGAGTTCCTCTAGTTTTAGGTCCCTTTCTAGTTCCTCCCTAATCCTACCCTATTAGGTACCTTTCTAGTTAAGCTTCTCCTCTAGTTCCCTTTCCTAATTAGCTTAGACATTTAGCTCAATCTATACTAGGAAGTAGTCTAATGATTCTTCTAGTTCCTAGTTGACCCTATATCTTATAATCCTATTCCTAATCTAGTGTAATATAAAGTATAGGTCTAGTATACTGCTACTTCCTCTTGCCTCCTAAGTAATTAGTCCCTTTAGGGTAACAATTTCTATTCCTTCCCTCTCTAATATATCAATTAGTCTTCCTACTAGGAAGTAGTAAGCTAGGGTAAAGTCTAAGCCCTAGAGGGGGTAGTAGAGGTTGAAATCCCTAAGTAGGATTTAGTAGGTGTTCCTCTAGATAACTCTAGATAGTCTTTCTAGGGTTTTTAGTTAGGTACTGCTTCTTAAGTCTAGTAGTAGGTTGTATATATAGTAGACTTAGAGTATACCTTAGGATATCTCTACTTAAATTAATATTAGGTCCCTATCCTCCTATAGTATAGCCTACTAGGTTTCTATATCTATCTCCTTGCTAATGTAGATACATATCCTTAGGGCTCCCTAGTTGTAGATAATTAGGTAGTATCTTAGGTCTTTAACTGTTACTAGTCTCTTCGTATATAGGTTAAGCTAGGGCTCTTAGATTGCAATAATATAATGTTCTTTTAGGTTTAGTGCTTAAAGGAAGCTCCTCTATACCTTATCTTTACTCTTATTAATATTATACTATATAATATTTAGTAATGTTGCAATGTTTATTAGGTTTTATCTATATTATTTCCCTATAAGTTTTCCTTTAGTCTTCCCTTACTTTAGACTAACATTTAACTAAGCTTTATCTACCCTACTTCCTTTCCTATAATATTAAGGTATCTTAGTCTCCCTAGTTGCTAGTAGCTCTCTTATGCTTATAAGGCCCTAAATATAAACCTATTATCTTGTCTAGACCTCTTTTGTAGTACTTAGCTAGGTTGCTTCTATACCTAGCTACCCTAGCTCGTTGTATATCTTTTTAGTATATTGATTCTAGCTTCCTTTGCCTTCCTAGCTGCCTGTATTCTTACTAGGCATTCCTTCGCCTAAGAGGGGTGTCTTTTAGTACAGTATATATATCTTGCTTCTCCCTTATATGCTTTGTATTCTTTAACCTAGTAATCCCCTATATAATAAGAGTAGGTGTTAGTTGTCTTTATATACTTAGCTGCTAAGTGTCTATAGTATTAACATTTGAAGCACTATATTATCCTATAGTTGCTTCTATATATCTCTGTTTCTAATCTTTCGAAGTCCTAGAACAATCCCTAGTCTAGTACTATATTAGCTTGCTCTATACTCCCTATCTAGATAATTAGGGAAGACTACTTCTTAGTCTCTTCGATTTTCCTTTTAATCTATACCACTTTTGTAATCTTTAGGCCTAGGTATATAGCTTAGTTTTGTCTCTATAGGCTCTTAATATCCTATTCTTCCTTAAAGCTTCTTATTATACTATAGGCTATAATTATAAATTGCTATTAGGAGACCTTTGCTGTTTTCCCTATCTTTATTGTCTATTCTTTTTATATTTCTAGCTTCTTTTTGTCCTGCTCTTATACTATAAATAGCTTGATTACCCCTTTACCTTCGTTCCTAGCCCTAATTACCTCTTTAACTATAATTCTTTCTATAATCTCTTTCCCTATAAGTCCTTAGATTTCCTTTTGCTCCTATAGGTCCGTAATATAGACTCTAACTACTATCCTCGGGGGTTTTAGCGCCTCCTAACTAGCTACTACTGCCTAGGTATAGTAGTTTAGGCTTGTCTCCTATTGTTTCTTTATAATCTTTACTACGACTATATTAGCTACCTTTGTAATTACGTAGGTTGCCTAGTTATATATTGCTTTTAGTCCTCTAAGGAGTTCTAAGATTATTATCCTATATGCCCTCTTAGAGGTTCTTCTATCTTCCGCCTTTAGTACCTCCTCTGCCCTAGTATATAGTGCTTTCTATTCGTCCTCCCTTCCTTCTTAACTGTCTTCCCTTCGTCCCTAATTGTTCGCTGCCATTCCGCTAAGATATTTGTTCGAAGAATATAAGAGTCAGGACAGTTGTAGAGGGAAAGCATACGAAAGAAAAAGAAGAAGAATCATGGCGGCGAGGTCTCAGATAGATGGGATTTTTTGCATCCTTCGATCATGGATCTCGTAAAAGAAGGGGAAAAGAAAGGAGAAATGGGGAAGAAGAATTAAACGAGGTCTTATTGTAGATGGAAGGTAGGAGCAGTTCATGCTTTGAGCTTTTTTTCTTTTTACAATTGAGTCTGATAAAAGAAAAGAGAAGGTCTACATATATATATCGTGCTGTCTACCTTTCCTTCCTGTTCTTCGTAACGATGCGAACGTTCGTCGTCCACTTCCAAAATTTGTGCAAGGAAGTGGTTGGCCCAGAAATCGATTCGTTGAATGTACGAGCGAGTGAGCAAGACGTCAAGCGTTCGTTTATAGACAAAAGCCCATCGTGGGAAAAGTGGTGACAGGAAGGAACGAGGTGGGTTGCAGTTTGGGTATGCTTCGGGTACTGTAGAATAAACCAAGATCAGATCATTTTCTTCTTCTTGGCAGCTCTGCTTTCCTCCTCTGACTCTGCCGCTCTCTTGGCAGTCTGTAGGAGAGAATTTCGAAGTTCCTCGACAAGATCATCGCTTATCGGTCCACTCAACACCACCTTCTTCACACCTCTCGGGCCTCGCAATAATGGCCTCAACGCTCTTTGCGCTTTATTCCAGGTTCGAACGGACTGGATGTTGGGGTCGTGTACAGTGATGGAGAGCTTGCCGTTGCCATCAACATCAGCTTCCAGAGAATCTATGTTGAGGATTTGTGCTGTGTAACGCTTGTCGCGCTTCTGGATGGATTGCTGGAAGTCGATGGTCATATTGTCGAGATGCTTGGCAGCGGAGAGGGTGGCCATTGCTTCGGATACCTTGGCCTCGAGAATGTCGATGTCTTTCGAGATGGGCGCTGGCGGCAGGGAGATGATTAAGGTGACGTTGCGCATGTATGATGCAGCTCGTGCTGTCATGGGCCATGGAAGTGAATCTTTATGCTTTGCTGGATTTGGCAGTATTCTTGTCCAGGTTTGAAATTGCCTGAAATCTGTCGATCGCACAGCATTCTCAATTGTACCTGCTGTGATGTGGAGAATGAAGCTGTTTTCGGCGAAGAAGAATGAATAGACTTCTTCCTGGAGGCGTTTACAAGTCGCAGCTAATGCCAAGTGTGCGCTCGCTGTCGCCGGCGGACGATCGGTCGTGTTGTATCGTACAGGCTGGTATCTCTTCATGACGCCGTCTGGAGGAGGCGCATTCTCCATCACTGCTGGTTGCGATGTAAACTTCTGGACGATGGGGACACTTCGAGTTGTGTCAAGGCGGGCTGGAAAGAAGTGGTAGGTCGTATTGCATGGCAGCAAATAATTAATAATATGTTGAAGAAGTTCTGTGGGGAGTTCTGTAATCCGGCAGCTGTCGTTTTGAGGTGGGGTTGTCGCAAGTTTTTCATCTTTCATAATGTCAAGCGAGGGATCCGCCAGATGGGAGTTCTGCACTGCGTACATTAGATCGCCCAGGCAAGATGGTATTCCAACTCTGGGCGCTGAACCCGGGCAACTTGCTGATCCTCCGCAGTTGATGCATTGATGAGGCTGCTCTCTAATCCATCGGCCGCATATGGTTGCATTGAGGATTCCGGATAGATACGGCACCCATTCACCACGCTCTGGACTGAGGTATTGCACACCCCAGGGAGTCATCCTCGCTTGCTTGTCCTGTGCCCAGTCGATGACCTTCTGACGATTCAGTTTCATGCTCTCACGGTGATGCCATCCCAAAGGACTCGACAGCAGATCAGACGCTCCCCGAATCGAGTACCAGATCCTGTTGAGCCATTCGGACGGAAGGTCTCGGGTGTCAATGGCAGCCATGTTGATGTGCTTCTCGTGCTCGTCGACGTTCGCATGTGTAGGTCGCACGAAGCCGCAGTCTTATATATGTGGAAATTGAGGCTGGGCGGAGGCGTGTGCAATCATGCGAAAAGACCAAGGCAGAAGCATGTCGTGGCGCTGGAAGGTGAGAACAGATGGAGCCGTCTCGGCCTTGAAGCAGTGGGAAGGATGCGGGCCCATTTCTACTAACCACGTTTTTGATATGGTTTTGTGACAAATAACAGCCCCCGATTGGCAGGCCCTTGCGCGCAGAGCACGGACGAACCGATGGAGGAGATTCTAGCCTTCTAGGCAGAAATTGCGACGATCTCGAAGCAGCCTTACGCTACACCGTGCCAGCGCGTGTCACAGCCTTTTTGCATGACTCGGAGATGAGATGTGACGCCTCTCAGACAGACACGGCGCACAGCTCGGGTAGCGGCGGCGGCGGCGGCGGCGGCGGCATTGGCATCGGACGTGGGTGGGCCAATCGCCGCCGGAACAGTGATGGGTGGTGGGTGGTGGGTGGTCGGTGGTGGGAGGGAGGGGAGGGGAGGGGAGGGGAGGGGATGCTCGAGCACAAGCTTCTCACCGAACAAGGATCGCGCGTCCACTGGCTGACGAAATGACGATCTAGTTTCTGCTGTTCCTGTCGCTCACATGGCCGGCCACACATGGTCTCCTATACCACCGCATGTACATATCAGAATAGCATTATTACCTTCCCTTGTCCTGGCAGGCTTGAGTTCATGTGCGCGGGCCTGAGAGCTGGACTCGAGGCCGGGACGGACACCTATGCACAATGTCCAGCAATCCATTCCGGCGCTCGCGCACACTTGACGCCGATCCATCCTCAGCAAACATCTTTGATACCACAACACCTCCCGCAGCTCCGGAAGTCGCGGCTTCCAGTAAGATGGCTTGAGTCGCACAGCCAGTGTGGCCTTGAGTAGGATAGGCGTGTTGACTCGTCGCAGCGACACCCCCAAAGCGAACAAAGAAAAAGAAGGTAGTGATCCAGACCCCACCGCACTCGCCAGAGTTTGTATACAGTCCCGAGAATGGAGGAAGAAGATTGCCGGCTGCAGACTCTGCCACGAGAGCCCCATTGCCTCCGCCGCACACGGATTCGAGTACGATAGAAGATAGCGAGAGTGAGTCCACGAGCACGGCCGACGATTCAGAGCTGGAGAGGCCCGCGGCAGCCAATGCAGGACGGAATCTTGGGGCAATGCCGCCGCCGGGAGTCGAGGGCACAGGAGCTACGCGTGCGCCATACAATCCTTTTGCGAGGACATTGCCTCCGAATGAGGCGGGGCTGGCATATTCACGAGAAAAGACAGAACAGCTGGACGGAAAGGGGGAGAATAAGGAGCAGAGAAGACCAGTGATGGATATGGACATGTTCAAAAATATATTGATGACCGGAGGACCTGTTCCGGCTGGGCTGAGCACTCAGACGAGACAGCACGACAGCAGCAGCAATGCTACGGATACCTCCTCGGTATTCGATTCTGCCTATGGTTTGCATCCAGAGTCGCCGTCAATGGGATATGACGACTATCGGTCTGCGTCTGCTTCAGAGGATGACGACGATCACGAGAAGTCGCAATTGATGGGTGCTGGGAGGTCTGATGATCTTGCACCTCCTGCACCACCCAAACCAAAGCGCGGACCTCAGACTGTGTCTTTTGCGGATTTTGATCAGTCGATACCACCCAACTTTCTGTCTGCTGGGCCTTCTACACAAACCCAGCATATCACGGGCATTTTGCGGACTGCTACACCTCCGAAGCCTCATCGCGACCTGAACAAGCCATTACCGCCTCCTCCGCAAGCTGCAAGCGAGCCACCTCCGCCTGCTGTTCCCGCGAAAGATATTCCCTCTACTCAACCTGCAACAGTGCCAGCTCCTGCGAGCGAGGATCTGACTCCGAAAAAGGTGCCACCTCCACCACCTTCATCCCGGAGACAGCCTGCTGGTCACAGCCGAGCAAGAAGTGTTTCGAACGTGTCCAACAATACTTTGGACTCGGTCACTTCTGCACCAGGATCAGAAATCTCCGGTCTGCAGCAAAAGCCAGAAGACATTGCTATCAAGCCTGCTCCGCCGCCGCCGCCGCATAGAAGGAACATGTTCGGATCGCAACCTCACGCAAACACACCTCCGAGAACTGCGTCGCCGCTTCAGACCGATAACAAGCTAGCTCCGGTACCTCCGCCTCGTCGTCAGGGCTCGAAGCGTGGCGGGAGCACTGATATCAGCCGACAAACGTCTGATGACTCCACAACCACACGCCGTACTGATCCCTCTCCAGCAGCCGGCGGCGCGATTCCTCCACCTCCGCCACCTCGTCGTGAACGAGGGTCGAAACGCACCAGTCTCGATGGACCACCTGCTTCCCTCTCACGGAGACTCAGTGGAGATCATCATCGTGATACTAGCTTTGACAGTGAAAGACCGGCGTCCATCTCTAGCTTGCAAAAGGTTGCTGAGATAGGAGAGTCCACTGAGCACGCCGTGTCCTCGCCTGATTCGAGTCGTGACATTCTGGCCGATATGGCCGCTTTCCAAGCTGAGATTGACGCCTTGAGGGCCGAAGGCACCAAAGCACGATGAGAAGAGGCATAAGACGGAATGATCCCCGTAAAAGCTGCACCGCAACACCATATGCTGACCAACCGATGAATGTGAGGAAGTCGCATCTGTATTGGTTCCGGAGCTATCGTGAAAATCTCGCTTCCAAGAGTGCGGCGAAGAGCAATTAGTATTGCCGACATCGATCCCGCAACTGGTCCAAAAGATCGGCAGGATCGTCTTCCAAGCGCTCTCCACGAGTCTACGTGTGGAGTACATTCTGTGTCAGCTTCAATTGGCTGGGTTACGCGAGTTGCGTACGGCAAGGATCCAAGCGCACCGCGACAATGTTGTTGCGACAAAGAGACGGTGAAATCCCGAACGGTTGCCTGACTGAGATTGGTTACGGAAACATTTCCCCTCTTTCGGCCTCACTTGTCTCGACCTCAATTGTCTTGACCTCACCTGTTTCGGCCTCACCTTTTCAGCTATCTCGCCACATATCCATCCACTGCCCTGCCTCGTATGTGTCTCACTCGGGCTCAACACCATGGATCCCGACATTGCCGACAAAAGGCTCAAGGACCTGCGAGTTGAAGAGATCACAGTCAAGACGACAGGTGCCGATGCACGAGCGACTGCGCAGTATGAAATCGATCCTATTCGGGAGAAAGCCTTGGTTCGCAAGCTTGACATACGGGTTGTGCCAATCTTGTGGTTTCTGTTCATGCTTGCCTTCTTGGACAGGACAAACATTGGTACGATGACATGTGAACGAGATATGAATAAGTCTATAGCTCAAGAAATGATGGACTGATCGTCAAATTCAGGCAATGCAAAGATCCAAGGCATGACCGCTGATCTGAACATGAAAGGCAATGACTACAACGTCGCCCTGTTCATCTTTGTACGACTCTCAGCCAAGACGTGTGCCGTTTGAGCATGCAAAAGCTGACACATCTTGTGCCGCCCTAGTTCATCCCATACATTCTCTTCGAAGTGCCATCGAATATTCTGATCAAGCGAATGGCGCTCTCTACCTGGATCGCACTCATCATGACACTGTGGGGCATTGCCACCATTGGCGAAGGTCTTGTCCGAAACAATGCTGGGCTCCAAGCCATGCGCTTCCTAATCGGACTTTTCGAGGCCGGCTTCTTTCCCGGATGTGTATACCTCATCAGTATGTACTACAAACGATACGAATTACAATGGCGCCTATCAATCTTCTTCACGGGATCAATCCTGGCCGGAGCATTCAGTGGTCTTCTGGCTTATGCGATTGCGAAGATGGACGGTATTGCCGGCTACAGTATGCATGCGCTTAGTCACCACTTTTCTTTCAAATCTCCTCTGCTGACAACTTCCAGGTGGATGGAGATGGATCTTCATCCTCGAAGGCATCTTCACAACCATCATCGGTGTCGGCGCAAAGTTTTTCATCCCAGATTGGCCCGAGACTGCGAAATTTCTGACGCACGGAGAGAAAGAACTCCTCGTCGCTCGTCTCGCCGCAGATGTCGCCGATGCGAAGATGAATCGCCTCGACAAGAAAGCCGCAAAGCGTATCTTTGGCGATTGGAAAATCTATTGTGGAATCTTCATGTATTTCGGGATCGTGAATACGGGATATGCGACTTCAGTAAGCGACCAATCTCCCCTCCCACCCCCCTTCCTTCCTCTATAACTAACACTTTTTCTTTTCTTTTCACCACCGCAGTTCTTCACCCCAACAATCCTCACCCAACTCGGCTACCGCGCCGAAGCAGCCCAAGTCCGCAGCATCCCCATCTTCCTCGTCGCAACCGCGTTCTGCCTGCTGACCGCCTACCTCACCGACCGTCTCCGCCACCGCTACTCTTTCACATTCATCGGCTGCCTCATCGCCACAATCGGTTACTCCCTCCTCCTCAACCAATCCCACATCTCCACGGGAATCCAATACATGGCCATCTTCTTCATCGTCACGGGAGGGTACATGTGTCAACCTGTGACTTTGGCGTGGGTGAATAATTGTATGTCGGGGCATTATAAGAGGAGTGTGAGTTCGGCGATGATGGTGGGGTTTGGGAATTCTGGGGGGATTGTGGCGAGTAATGTTTTTTTGGAGGGGGAGAGGCCTGGGTTTCGGACGGGGTATGGGGTTAGTCTTGGGTTGGTTTGGGTTTGTGCGGTTGCTTGTGCGTGGTTTTTGGTTGGGGTGTGGAGGGAGAATGGGAAGAGGGAGAGGGGGGAGAGGGAGTGGAGGTTAGAGGTGGAGGAGAGGGAGAGGGAAAATTTAGGCGATAAACATCCTAGTGTACGGATAACATATTGAGGGCGAAATGTTGGAATCAAACGGAGGAGATGCAGATTCAGCTCCAAAAGCTTTATGTTGTCAAACCTAG